CTTTAATTAGATATTCTTGGACCATGAGCTTCCATATACTGTTCTGCCAGCTTCATTATCTCGTTCACGTCTTTTGGTGCTCTTTCATTTAGGAACAATGGCACGTCAGTTGAGCACGTGATCATGAACTGTTCAGTATTAGTAGATCTGTTAGTCCATCAAACTATTTTCACATTTGGCCATTTCAGTCCATATCTGGTGAAGTATCGCCGTTGACGTGCCACAAACTGAAATACAGTTTCTCCAGTGTCCGGCTTAACTCTTCTGAACTTCTAACGAAAAGCTTCTACAGTAAGTTCATATCTTTTCAGCAATGCCACTATTAATTTGTTATAGTCCATGGCAACTTCTGATGCCATGCTTGCATATACTTGTAAACATTTTCCTGTGAGAAACAGACTGAGACAGACTGCCCAGTCGCCTTTGTCCCATATCTTTCATATCTCTCCAGGAAAACATCCATGTCATATTTATGTTCATCAAATTTGCACAGCTTGGGTCGGTTTTCCTATTGTCATTCTTTAGTCCATCTTCTTTCTGTTGGGTGAGCTTGGCAATTTCAGTTTGTGCTATTATTCATTCTCCCTCTATTTCAAGTATCTATCTCCTTTCTCTCCTTTTCTTCTTTCAGTTATTCTTCCTCTATTCTCTGCCTCTCCCCTTTCTCTTCTCTGCCTCTTCCCCTTTCTCTTCCGTTGCTGCTCTTCTCTCTCTAGTTCTTGTTCTTGTTTGAGAAACTCTCGTAGTTCACTGTCTTTTAACACAAGATGCTCACCTCTTTCTATCCAATTATCAAAATATGACATGGTCATATATCATAATTGTAATCTCTACACTATTTGTGCTACTACAGTTGTGCGTATATAGGCCCACTTCTTCTGGCTGTCGTTCACGTCTTCTTTCACTACCGTTTGCCACTGTATAATCCTGGCTGGCTCGCCAAAAGTCAGGGTTTTATATATATGTGGGCTGGTATTTTTCTACAATAGATGTCTGTGACTTCTTGGTCATAAATTCGAACAATAAATGGACAACACACAATCACTTGTTTTAAAAGGATATATTCAATACAAGTCAAACGTATGAACAAAAATTATTTACACAATAGAATATCACAGTTGTATCTAAAAATCTAAATAATAATATTTTCTTGTTAAAAGTCTACTTAGGCTGATTCAATTACTTTAGAATCCAATTGAGTAGACAAACTATTTTTCTCTATCTTTATCACAATAGTATTAGTGAATAATTCACTTATGCTACCCCATGGGTTACCACAGTTGTATCCAACTTCAAATAATTGTCTCCTTTACCTCAAAGTCCACACAGACGGGTTAAATTACTTTAGAACACCCTTTGACAAGACACATTATTCTCCTTAACTCTATTAAACTGTGAAACTCACTTTAAAGTATCGCCCATTGCGGCTAATCACTCACACACTGGCTAACTTCACGTTTTTAAACTTTTTTGTAATTGAACATTACTTTGATTTCACTTTTATCTCTACTTCACACTTAACTTGCTCTCGATCGATCACCCATAGATATATATCTTGTTCACTGAGGCCTCGAATTTTCGACAAACGCTATTACGTAACAATACTGCTTCAAGGTAGCGAGAAAAACAGCGAAAAGTGTTAAAAAGTGACATCCAGAATGTAGCTTCACGGGAGTTGAAGGAAGTGCAGAAGAAGGACCCTTCACCACAAAACCTTTGGGGCAGTGCCAGAGAGAAAAAGTCGAGCACAAGATAAAGAGGAAAGAGACTTGAAACAGAGGACCGGAAAGGAGTATTGTACCAGATCTATCAAATCAGTTCTACTGCATAAGCCAAATCCACATATAATATTATTCACAAGATCAACTAACAAAGCAGAAAGAAACCTTAACTATATCTAGATGGGGCACTCCTCGAAGTCGCCACATCTGTAAAATTTTTAGGATTAATTTACGACTCAAAAATAACGTGAATTAAAGCATATTAGTTTATGACAAATCGGATCTGGCTTGGAGCGAGGTATCGTACATGTCTGACAGGTAATAATCAAGGAGCTTCATCAGACGCTACACTCAAAATATATACATATAACACATACATTAGGCGAGTCATAAAACATGCCTGCACGCACGGTTAACGTTTCTGACACACATATAGAACATCTACAGAAAACACAAAACTATATACTCACAAAAGCTGATAAGTCCCCCCGTACAACAAACTTAACCTTTTTACACACATACCCAAACACCTCTCGGTTATCTGATAGACTCCTTGAAAACTCGCTCAAATACTATAGGAAAAATAAAAACAACTTAGTGGACAACTTAGAGAGGTATATCATACATGATGGACAAATTCAGAAGTACCTCTCGCTATTAAATAATATTATTAAAACGGTCACTTAGTGCTAAACATTACAGAATTTTTTTCGATACATTTATAATTTTATTCTAAAAAAATAGGTTTATTTTATGTGTACTAAATAGCAGACTTTATAGGGCCGGAAGTCTTTACAGTAGGTGTCTGTGATTTGCTAGCGATAAATGTCAACAATTAACGGACAATCCACAATCCACTTGTTTTAAAATAATATAATCAAAACAAGTTAAACGTACGTACAAAAATTCGTTATACTATTGGTTATTAAAGTTGTATCCAGAGCTTTAAATAATTGTCATCTTTTCGTCAAAGTCCACACGGGCGGATTCGATTATTTTAGAACACTCTTTGACAAGACATCTTATTTTTCTTTATCTCTGTTGTTACAACACCACTGTGAAACTCACTTTAGATATTCCCCGTTATGGCTAAACTGACAATCACACAGGCTAGCTTCACTTTCACTATCTTACTTTAACTTCTTACTTGTGCTCTGTGTCTGCTCGTATTTATTACAAGTGATAGAAAAATCTAGAAATATCTAGCCCTCTAGTACAACAATATTCACATAACGAGAAGAACCTAGAAGCTTCGACTAAGATGACTTCAACAGTATTACAAAAGCCTAGTTTAACAATTAGAACTGCACAACGTACGACTCGTACATAGTTACATGACGAAACTTGTTACAACTATGGCTTTTAAAATAAGTAACTTGTTATGAACCCTAAATAATTATTAAATATTAAATCACTAAATAAATTTAAAAATAACTCTTTAGCTAAACAGTCTTGTATATCCAACACTAAAATTGATTTGTGTGTATATACTGCATTATTACTGAATGGACTGTAGTGTGAAAGTAGAACTTTGTGTAAACCCACATCAGCGATTTGTGTGTAATTATGTAAAATTGATGATATCAGCCCATAATATGGACAAGGCTTTAAAAGGACTGGGAAATATTATTTACGGACGCTATGGAAATAATCTAGCATTGTGTAAGTGTGGGAATTATTACCGGAAAGATTCCGTGTGGATAAAATAAAACCTCAGCAACCTGGAAACAGCATCATTAGCACGGACCCCGTGACGACATCTTGCATTGTAGACTTGACCAAACTACAGTATCAAGAAGCAGAAGTTTTAAACAATAAAGAAAGTACCAAAATCGTCTTAGAAGGAAAACAAATTAATAATAAAATCCGAAACATCTGTTAGGGAGGGAGGAAAAGATCGAAGGTGTACCTGACCTTCCCAGGTCCAACAAAATCGGACCAAAAAATCGAATATAGCGAATGACATGACCTAAGGAGTTCGAAATGTTATTATTTGTTTTAAATATAAGATTTAATACTCATGTCGGCCATTTTTACCATATATGCTTCAAGTAGGTCTCTCGTAATCATGACCTGGTAAAGTAGGGGTTTGACATTCCAAAATACCAAAACTGATAGTGGTAAGTTAAGGGTAGGAGGCGGAACCTCCATAATATAACAAATATAAAACTGTACGTAGATGTGTATGCTTGTTTTAGATGCTTGAATTGTTGTTTTTGTTCACTTACCCAATAAGTAAATTAGATGACACAGAAAGTGAATTTCTGATTACAAGTTATGTTCTCTCTAAGCCTAATGTAAAAACGGCTTGTTTAATTTTTTGACCTGAACATTTCACTCTTATAATCTAAATACCTATACATAAGATAATTTTTATTAAGGTTTGATGACTTTTTCTAAGGTCAAACAATATGATTTACCTATTCATCAATTTTTTACTTAGAATAATTAAGAGAGAAACTATCTTGACAAGAATAACTTTGTAGATATTTTCCTGGTTTTATGTTTCAACCATTGATTGTAAGAGAGAGATATAATGTAATTATAATGAACAATACAAACACGCATATATATATTTTAATTAAGGTGACTTTTTCTAAGGTCAAACAATATGATTTACCTATTCATCAATTTTTTACTTAGAATAATTAAGAGAGAAACTATCTTGACAAGAATAACTTTGTAGATATTTTCCTGGTTTTATGTTTCAACCATTGATTGTAAGAGAGAGATATAATGTAATTATAATGAACAATACAAACACGCATATATATATTTACAAAGTAAAGATATTATTTTCCTACAAGTTATAAAAATGAAATTTCTGATATGATATTAAAACATACGCGTTCATAATGTCTTGATAGAAATTAATAAAAAACCCT